GCTTCTACAATACTCTTCAATTTTCCATAGCTGTATTTTTTTAATTTCAAGTTTGATTTCCATGCTGCCAACTATTTGTCATATGCGTATTTTCAACATTATAGAAATCAAGTTTGATGAGCTCCTGTCCGGTGAAAGGAGCTCTAGGCACAGAAACTGTGGTCATATTATTGAGTCAAGGACACTCATTAATGAGATCAATATAATATCCTTCACATCAATAAAGGAATCATAAACAATATTCTTGCATTTATTTAATATCTCTTCTCAATAATTTTGTAAGGATGTAAGGTGACACAAAACTATCTCCTTATTAAGATGTGGTATTTATCATATATTAGATCTCAGTGGAAGAACCTATCTCAATCTGTTCTTTTAAAACAACATTTTTTATAATAATAAATAAGGTTATTAACTGTTGCAAAACCTTTGTTCCTCTTGTGAGTGAAATATTGCAACGTGAATAAACCACATAAATTATAATGATATAAATTTAAGAAAGATAACAACCATATATTTTTTCTGGATGTTCTCTTCATTAGAATTTTCTCTAGTGCTCAATACATTTATTTTTATGCTTTTCCTTCAATGGTTTCTATTTTGTTTGTGGTTTTGCAGATTTCCCAATCTTTATATATGTCATACATTGAGAAAATTCCTCTTTTCAAGGAATGCTCTTCAGAGTTTATTAATCAGATTGTAAGTCGGTTTCTTGTCTCAAATAAATGCAAGTTGCTCAAAAATACAATTTTTTCTGTTGCTTCTGATTTGGTAATAAATGGTTCATATGTGCTGCGCAAAGCTCATTTGTGCTTGGTTGTATTGAACTTACTCTGCATCATATTTTGTAAAACAGAGTTGACATGATTCAACATCTCTATGCTAATATTACATGGAATCTGAAGAAATCAATTGCATATGGCCTAAGCGTGTATGCATGCAATTATATCTTTGGATAACTGCTTTTAGATATAGTATGTCAGGACTGCTGTTCTAAATGCTCATTTGAAGCAGTATGATCTCTTTTTCTCAAAGTAAATTGGTCTCTTGCACACGATAATATTTTTATATCACCAAAAAGAAGTCATAAAATGTTTGCCCTGTCTAATGCTGCAGCCACATTCCACCTTCACAATTACATAAAAAAGGAGGAAAAGAAGAAAAAAAACTTTTAGATATAAAGTTAACCCTTGATTCTTTTGATCTTGCAGGTTATTAGACTCCATGAAGAATTTTTTCTCCCAGGAGAAGTAATAATGGAACAGGGAAATGTTGTAGATCAACTTTATTTTGTCTGTGATGGTGTGCTGGTATGATACATTATGTTTTTATTGTTCTGGTTAATAAAATACATTTATATCTTGTTTTCCTACCTCTACCTATCCTTGGATATCTCCTAAGCCTTGTATATATATATATATATATATATATATATATACACAAATATATATTCATGTAAGCATGAAACATATTTATGTATTTGTTAACCTGAAGAAGGTGGTCATTCCACTTGTTGTTTAGCTGCTGAGATTGGCTTTCAATTATTTTCTATTCCATGCCACAGAACATCATATATGTGCTTCGTCATGTAATTGTCATTGTTCAATACTTTGTTATACATTTTCTGCACAGTCCCTCGTAAACTTTCATCGAATTGTTAGCTCAATATTCTCATAAATTGATTAAATGATTCTTAACCTACAGTATCTTTGTACAGGAGGGGGTTGCTATAGGGGAAGACGGATCAGAAGAGACTGTTTCACTTCTGGAATCCAATAGCTCGTTTGGAGAAATTTCTATACTCTGCAACATCCCTCAGCCTTATACTGTTCGGGTTTGTGAATTATGTAGGCTTCTGCGGTTGGATAAACAATCGTTTTCAAATATCCTCGAGATATATTTCTACGACGGAAGGAAAATTTTGAACAATCTTTTGGAGGTAATCCAGTTGCCTCGTATCTCTATTGCTTATACACTGTGTCTGCTCCTCTTATGTCTTTATCAGAGAAAAGTGTACGCATGTTGAGTACTACCATTTGAGAAGAAAGTTAATTGAACATAAATTTGACAACCTCAAATTGCAGGGAAAAGAATCCAATCTTCGAGTTAAGCAACTGGAGTCAGACATATCATTTCACATTGGAAGACAAGAAGCTGAACTAGCCTTGAGAGTGAATTGTGCTGCATATAATGGAGATTTGTATCAGCTTAAAAGTTTGATACGAGCCGGAGCTGATCCTAACAAAACGGATTACGATGGAAGATCTCCCTTGGTAAGCATAATTATTTTAACTGAAGGCTTTTGGTTGGTCTTCAAATACGTTCTATTCTAATTCAATTTTGATGAGATCATCAGTTCATGCATTGATGCTTCTATATATTGCTAGCACTTCTTTTACTGTTAATTTGTGTTAAAATTGATTTAGTTCCATATAATTATAAGTACTTCATTTTTTGGGCATAAAGCTATGAGGTTATATAGTATGCAATAATTGCTCTTTCTATGGTCTCTGTCATGATTGTGATAACCAAATCAAGAGTCTATTACATGTATGGCCAATATACCTATAGGCATTTTTAGCACTTTAGTTGAAGCTTTGTTTTCTTTTATATCATTCTTTAATTTTAAAGGAAATCATGTACTTGCACGAGTAATGAAGATCAAAACAGATGGAAAACATGGTAAAATCATAAAAACATCAGAAAAGTACGTTTCATTGCAATTTAAATCTCAAAATTTACTACTAATATTTCAGTAGATTATGTGTTACTTCTTTGGGAAATAGCTAAAATGAGTTCCCTTGGTCATTCTGACATGCCATAAAATCCTCAGAACTCCCGGTTACAATTGGGGTTCAAATCAATTCCTTAAATTTTACTGCGCTTTAGCTACACATTGAAAATGAAGATTGGGAGAAAGAAAGCTCTTATCTGAAACCAAATGTTTGTTTTGAGTAGCATCTTGCTGCATTGAAAGGGTATGAAGATATTGCAACTTTCCTTATTCGGCATTCAGTAGACATCAATATTAAAGGTAATTATCTTTTACAAATATTTTAAAATGTTACTTTAGTTAATTAAAATTGTAGTCTTTATCATTTGACCTACTGTTGTGATAATAATTTATTTTTCTATAGATAAGTTTGGGAATACACCCTTGCTAGAAGCCATAAAAAATGGACAAGACATCGTTGCTGCTTTGCTAGTTAAAGAAGGAGCTTCCTTAAACATAGATGATGCTGGTAGTTTTCTGTGCACGGCAGTTTCAAAAGGGGACTCAGACTTTTTGAAAAGGCTTTTGTCTAACGGAGTTGATCCTAACTCCAGAGATTATGACCATCGAACCCCACTTCATGTAGCTGCTTCTGAGGGCTTATATTTGATGGCAAAGCTTTTGATAGAGGCCGGGGCTAGTGTTTTTACCAAAGACAGGTACATTTGGGACATTGATTTCACTTGGTTTTATGAATGCGATCGAGTTTAGCTTATTCATCTAAGGTTATTTGTTTCTAGCTATGCCGTTTAGTTTATAACTGGATTTGGATCAGCAGCTAAAATATCACAATATAGTTGCTTACAATATTTGCATATTAATACTTCAGAATCAGGCATATCACATGCGAAATTCCCATTGTATGCATAATTTTCTAGGATACTAATCACCAGATGGTTTAACTGCGCTGTATGCAGTTATTTTGTCAGTCAAAAACCTTAGATATGTTTCTGATTGCCTTATTTCAGTGAGTTGTCTCTTTTCTGGTATTTCTGCTGCACTTTCTTTTACAGGTTTACTGAAATGTTGTACTCTTATTTTATTAACTCCGATTCTTATTTTTCTTCTTCATGTGTCATAGACGTTTGCATTACTTCAGTATGATGAGTTTTTTCAACAATTATGCCTTCATGTGCAGATGGGGAAACACTCCACTCGATGAAGGCCGAATGTGTGGCAACAAGAATTTGATCAAGCTACTGGAAGATGCAAAATCTACTCAGTTATCAGAATTCCCTTATTGTTCGAAAGAAATCACAGGTATTGCTGGACCTGTGAGACCACATTCTAATTTGCATTTCACATGACCCATGTCGTTTACTGACCACACCTTTGCTTTTATTGTCGCATCTGCATTTGCCCATTAGTTTCTTCAGTGGTAAGTACCAAGTAATCTCCGTTTGTGCACTAATGATAGAATTTGTCGGTAATACCAGATAAAATACACCCGAAGAAGTGCACGGTTTTTCCTTTCCACCCTTGGGATGCTAAAGAACAGAGGAGACCTGGCATTGTGTTATGGATCCCTCGCACGGTGGAAGCGCTTATTACAACCGCTGCCGAGCAGCTAGACGTTGCAGGTGCTTCTTGCATATTGTCTGAAGATGGAGGTAAAATTCTTGATGCAGGCTTGATTAATGATGGACAAAAGCTGTATTTGATCAGGGAAACACGGTAGTTGGTAACATAGGTTCGTTCATTGTGATGGAGTTTGTAACAATGTCGCTGTTTTGTTCTTGTACCACGTCCGCGTCCAGCTCCACTTGTAAATATGATTTTGCCTTCAATAAATTTGCATCTCTTGATACTCAACCTCACATCCAACCTGAGATTTAAATCTTAATATTTCTAGTACCTTCCGTTCCTGGACTGCTTTTATTTATTCATATTTATGGATTAAAGAAATCAACACCATTTAAAGATACGGAGAGTGAAATTGGAGAGATTATGGGTAAAAAGGGATGAATTTTAATTACAATATTAGTAATTAATTTCTTTTAAGATCACGGGATTTAATTTTAAGCAACACAACAGAAAGATGATTGCAAAGCATTTCCTGCAGAAAGTTGGATATCTGGCGCAAATTCCCTAAACTTTGCCGCAAATGTTTCAAGCCTTCAACGACGCAGTAGACAGGCTTAGAGATATGATGTAAACATTAAAGAAAAAGCCAATATACAGCCATTACCAAAGATCGGCTGAGCCTTGTGACATTGAGAACCAGATGTAATTCTATCAATTTATACGCCATTGAGAAGGTCTAGCATCCTCGACCAGACATATCACCGTAAATAGGTTCATAAAAGCCCACAAATAATTTATCGCAAAAATCGGTAATTTGCTAGTAAAATTTGTACAAGAGATAGCATTCTAAGCAATACCTTAAACAGAAACCGGAGAATGAACCTCAGCTTTTCATAAACATTTTTCTGAACTCATCATTTGATTTTGGCTTCTCATCTTCCTCTGTCCTAGTTCCTGGTTTGTTAGCAGTCCATCCAAGTGCTTTAACATTTCTTGGCACCGCAAATGTGTTCTTCCCCTTGAGTTGGATGTTATCGTCATGCTTACGACCAGTGGATTGTGGTACATGAGGTGCTCTAGATCCCTGTGAGTTTTCACCAGATTCTTTAGATACAGAACTCCCATGCCTTCCACCTTGGCTGCTAGCATCGCCTGCAATTTCAGTTTAGACACATTAGAATCTGACCAAGCAAACTTGTATAATTGTAAAACTAGAATGAAAACAAAAGCAAAGCGTGAGCTATGTTATCCATGTTGGATATATGAACTGCAAAACTACACCGTTAACACTGACTGAAAATATAAACAGTAATTAAGAAGAACAGATTCGTAAACCGTGTCGTGGTAAGAACCACTGCCATAGAAACGAATTCGCCTCGATGTGTGTAATCGCTGCAGTAGGCGGACCGTCCCCCGAGGTTAACACGGTCGCTCCGAATTCCGTACACCCGAAACCGGAGTGGACTGCTGGTGGTATTGCACTTCTGATCGGAAAGCACTCAGAGAGAACTAACGGAGAGAACTTTAGAAAACACTTTGCAAGTGAATTGTAAATGTTTTGAAGTGAGTTGAGAAGCTGAATATAGCTCTCTATTTATAGGCTAGAAATAGGGTTAAAATCGTCCATAAAATTTCAGGATTAAACCTCTTATTTGTAACAGCTGAAACGTTTAGATGAACCTGACTCAGAAATAGTCCAGGTTCATTGTATCATTATTCAGCTGTTATAACTCCCGAAATTATATCATGTAACCCCTGGAATTAAATCAAATAACTCCTGTAACTCCTGATATTAACAGCTTGTCTCCTCTGTACAAAGCTGTAAATCAGTCCAGGTACATCTTAACGTTTCTGATTTAATTTAGGAATAAACTTTTTAATTTCTGATAAAAAATAATTCAGCTGTTATTATTTGAAATTCAAACAGTCCTCAGCAGCCTATAAATATCAGTTGATATCTTTCACATTTTCCATTTGTTTCTTTCAAAGAGAAATTCCTCAAGAATTTCTCTAAAAAGATAGTATCCGCGCGGACGTGTCGAAGACACGTATTACCACGACCACGACCACGACCACGACCACGACCACGACCTCGACCTCGACCACGACCACGACCACGACCACGAGCCGAGCCGTGCCGTGCCGTGCCGAGCCGAGCCGAGACGAGACGGACGGACGGCGGCGGCGGTGCGCGAGAGCCCCCCTTGTTCTCTATCACTCAACAAGGAAGTGGAATGTCAAGCCTTAAATACCATTCCCAATAGTGTTTCCAACACTATGTGGGATTTGAGCATTACCAACATTCCCCCACTAATGCGAAAGAAATCTTCTGAAACTCGAAAACAAGCTTTCCAGAAGAGTAATAGCGAGATTAGTTGCTTAAGCACTAGTGAACATATCTGGAACTAGTACATAGTGATGATGAGCAATCCTTCTCTTAGATAAGTGAAACTAGTCTGGAACTTTCTAAGATCAGGGTAAACTCATAACACACAACTAACCCCTTCATCCACCTGAGTCCTCGATGTGTAAGATATATATATACAAACGTATATATTTGGCCATCTTACCTCAGGATTCTAGTAAGTGTGCTAGAAAAATAGTCCAACATTTTTCATAGAAGGCGGCTAACCCTTCTCACTTACATAGGTTATTTCATCAAGTTTATCTCAACATAAACCACCCTTTAAAAAGGAATATGAAATAATTAAGAGCTTTTATAATAGCTCAACCTCACAAAGGGTATGGTGACTATTTTCAAGTTCATTATAAATGAACCACCCAAACTCTGGGCTAAGAAGTCATTAAGAATAAATATTCAACCTCATTTATCGGTAAATTCAATAAGTCCTTCTCACTAGAACCATCCAAATACTTGGATTTGAATTTATTAAGAGTTTAACAAACTCAACCTTTCTGTCGTAAGTTCATCATTTCCTACCCACTCGGTCTGGGTTATGAACTTATTAAGAATAGATATTCAGCCAAAATCGGTAAATTCATCAAGTCTTTCTCACTAAGACCACCCAAAGCCTGGGCTATGAATTTATTAAGAGCAATTAAGCTCATCCTGGGCATGCACATTATTCATCATAGGGATAGGCAGTAGGAATGTGCACTATGAGTCTTTCCATGGTTTCGTTTGACCACATGGAACTTAGATAACTAAGTTGGGTATCCACCATGAATTCCTCAACCAATGGGCTTTAGACCCATCCCCCTCGACGAATCTAGGACCAGCTTCCGACTTAACCCTTTGGTAAGTGGATCTGCTAGGTTCCTTTCCGACTTCACATACTCTAAAGAGAGCACTCCATTCTTTATCAAGTGTCTAACTGATTCATGTCTTATGCGAATGTGTCTTTTCTTACCATTGTAAGCTTGGTTCTTAGCCACACATATCGCAGCTTGTGAATCACACAACAATGAAACTGGAGGAGTCGGTCTTCCCCACAACGGAATATCTGCTAACAAGCTTCTGAGCCACTCGGCTTCTTGCCCAGCTAGGTCAAGAGCTATAAACTCTGACTCCATGGTAGAACGAGCAATACAAGTCTGCTTTGATGATTTCCACGAGATCGCTGCTCCACCCAAAGTAAAAACATACCCGCTCGTAGAGCTTACCTCATCATTATCAGAAACCCAGTTGGCATCACAATATCCTTCCAATACCGCAGGAAAGCCAACAAACTCAAGTTTCCAATTCACAGTACCCTTAAGATACTTCAGTAAGCGTTTAAGCGCAATCCAGTGCTCACCACTCGGATTATGAGTATATCTACTTAGTCTACTCACAGCATAAGCAATATCAGGCCGAGTATAGTTCATTAAGAACATTAAACTTCCGATTAATTTAGCATATTCAGTTTGGGAAACACTACTTCCTTTATTCTTAACTAGATGTATGCTAGGGTCATAGGGAGTTCGAACAGGGACGACATCAAAACTGTCAAATTTCTTTAGCACTTTCTCTATATAATGTGCTTGACATAAAGAAAATCCCTTCTCAGTTTTGGTAATTTTGACTCCTAAGATTACATCTACTTCTCCCAAATCTGTCATCTCAAACTTAGTGGACAAGAAATTTTTAACTTTGTTAATGGACTCAATGTTAGAACTGAAAATCAACATGTCGTCAACATAAAGACTTATGATAACACATTCAGTTTCAAACATCTTCGAATACACACAAGCATCCGAACCATTCACAACAAACCAAAACTAAGAATAGTTTTATGAAATTTCTCATACCACTGTTTAGGAGCCTGCTTAAGTCCATAGAGTGACTTTTTGAGTCTACAAACTTTGCCTTCCATACCAGGTGCCTCAAAACCTAGTGGTTGCTCCATGTAAATCTCCTCATCTAGATCCCCATTCAAGAAAGCAGTCTTAACATCCATTTGATGTACCTGCAACTTATGAATAGAGGCTAGTGCAAATAATGCACGAATCGTTGAGATTTTTGTAACGGGAGAGTATGTATCAAAGTAGTCTAAACCAAACCTTTGAGTGAACCCTTTGACGACTAACCTTGCCTTGTACCGCTGAATCGAACCATCTGGCCTTAGTTTCTTCCGGAAGACCCATTTGTTGGAGATTGGTTTGAATCCCTTAGGCAAGTCAACTAATTCCCAAGTATGATTAGACATTATCGATTCTAGTTCATCATTAACAGCGCTTTTCCAAAAACTAGCATCGATAGATCTTATAGCTTCTTCAAAAGTTTTAGGATCCTCATCTAATAGAAAAATTTGAGCTATAGGATCTGAAATGAAGTCTAAATCATTTATCTCAGAAATAAAGGAAGTAATAAAGTCTGGTCCAAAAGAGGTTTCAACTCTTTGCCTTTTACTTCTTCTAGGCTCAAAATCAATTTGTTCAAAAGACCTAGCAGGATTACTAGAAGAAGTTGATGGAATATATTCTATTTGTGTTTCAATATTTATTCTCGGTTCCTTTAAAGGAAAAGTATTTTCAAAGAAAACAGCATCTCTTGATTCACAAATAGAATAATCTTGTAAAAGCATGAATCTGTATGCAGCACTATTCGTAGCATACCCTATAAACACTGCATCAACGGTTTTAGGTCGATGGTGGACTTCTTAAAGTCTGGCAAGCCCACTTTAGCCAGACACCCCCACACTTTCAGGTATTGTAAATTAGGAGCGTATCCTTTCCACAATTCATATGGGGTAGAATCTAATTTCTTATGAGGAACTCGGTTCAAGATATGAGTTGCCGATAGAATGGCCTCCCCCACATGTTATCAGATAACCCGGAACTTATTAGTAAAGAATTCATCATCTCTTTTAAAGTTCTATTTTCCTTTCGGCTATACCATTCTGTTGAGGAAAATAGGGGGCTGATGTTTCATGAATTATGCCATTCTTTTCACAAATATCTTTTAAGAAATTAGATCCATATTCACCACCTCTATCAGATCTAACTCGTTTGATTCTCCCATCTAACTGATTTTCAACTTCTGCCTTATAAATAAGAAAGAAGTTTTCAGCTTCATCTTTAGTTCTTAGGAGATAAACTTTGTATATCTTGAATAATCATCTACAAAAGTTATGTAGTAGTGTTTTCCTCCTTTACTTTCAGTGTTTCTAAATCTGCTAGATCAGTATGAATAAGTTCTAACAGTTCAGTCTTTCTATTAGAAACAGTCTTAAAGTGAGGTCTAGTATGTTTAGCTTCTACACAAATCTCACATTTGTTAAAGCTAGTTGTGTCTAGTTTAGGCAGAACATTCATATTCATTAATTTCTTTAAAGCATGAATATTCACGTGTCCTAATCTAGCATGCCACATATCAATGGATTCAACAATATAAGCAGAAGTGGTAGCTTTATTTTCATTAAATTGAGTTTCTATGACAAATAACCATTGCTTAAAAACCCTTTCCCCACATAATCACCATTTCGGGAAAGTACAAGTTTATCTGCCTCAAAAACTAACTTAATGCCTGCCTTATTCAGAAGCCCACCACTTATCAAATTTCTACGCAAGGCAGGTACATACAGAACATTATTTAAAGCCAGAGTTTTACCAGAAGTCAGCTTGAGTAAAACCTTGCCTTTGCCTAGCACTTCAGAGCTGCTAGAGTTCCCCATGTACACACGTTCACCAGTGTTTCCATCCTCGAACTCGGTGAAAACTCCTTCCTTGCGCAGAAATGCTTCGAAGCGCCAGTGTCAACTACCCATTCTGAACTGTTCTCCACCAGATTAACTTCTGAGACCACCGCAGCAATGATATCATCATCTTCTTCTACAACGTGCATCTGTGGCTTGTTGTCATTTTGGCGGTCTGAGCGGTGTTGGCATTGGTAAGCTTTGTGGCCAGGTAAACCGCAGACATAACACTTGAACGTCTTTCCTTCCGGTTTGGCCTTTCCTGACTTCTTGAAGTTGGTAGCCTTCTGTGGTTTCGTTTTTTTGTCTTGATTCCCACGTTTCATGATCTTCTTAAATTTAGACTCAACCAAGTTAGCTCTAAAAGATAAATTACTCATAGAATTAGTAAGCTTATCTTTTAAACGGTTGGCTTCTTCAATCTTCATATGGCCCACAAGTTCTTCAAGCGAAATGTCTCTCTTCTTATGCTTAAGAGAGTTGCGGTAATCGGACCAGGACTTGGCAGCTTCTCAATGAGTACATTGGCTTGCAGCACCTCACACATTTGCATCCCTTCAGCGATGATGTCAGCGACTAAGTTCTCATAGTCATGGACTTGATCCATTATTGGTTTGTCGTCTGTCATCTGGAATTTGAGCCATTCACCGACAACGTACTTCTTTATCCCCGCATCATCCGCACCATACTTTTTGTCGAGAGTGTCCCATATTGTCTTGGCACTCCTTTCTCTAAGGAACATATCAAATAGTTTATTTGACATGTGGCTGAGCAAATGTCCTCGTACCGTCTTGTTATCCTTCTCGTATTTCTCGTAGGTAGCGAGAACGGCGGCGGCAGTTGCTAAGGCATCATCATTGAGGATCGTATCCGCATCATTACCGACAGCTGGGGTTGGTGGCATGGTAGGTGGTGGCTTGAGCAACACGTAATCAAGATCAAGTTGCTCGAAGAATATCAGAATTCTTTGGGACCACCTTCTATAGTTCTTTCCATCAAGTGCATCGAGCTTGGAAAGATCGGGAATGAGTTGGCTCAAAGGTGTCGACATGATTGCAGTTTATGGAAATTCGTTTCTAAATTGTTGGATATATGAACTGCAAAACTACACCGTTAGCACTGACTGAAAATATAAACAGTAATTAAGAAGAACAGATTCGTAAACCGTGTCGTGGTAAGAACCACTGCCATAGAAACGAATTCGCCTCGATGTGTGTAATCGCTGCAGTAGGCGGACCGTCCCCGAGGTTAACACGGTCGCTCCGAATTCCGTACACCCGAAACCGGAGTGGACTGCTGGTGGTATTGCACTTCTGATCGGAAAGCACTCAGAGAGAACTAACGGAGAGAACTTTAGAAAACACTTTGCAAGTGAATTGTAAATGTTTTGAAGTGAGTTGAGAAGCTGAATATAGCTCTCTATTTATAGGCTAGAAATAGGGTTAAAATCGTCCATAAAATTTCAGGATTAAACCTCTTATTTGTAACAGCTGAAACGTTTAGATGAACCTGACTCAGAAATAGTCCAGGTTCATTGTATCATTATTCAGCTGTTATAACTCCCGAAATTATATCATGTAACCCCTGGAATTAAATCAAATAACTCCTGTAACTCCTGATATTAACAGCTTGTCTCCTCTGTACAAAGCTGTAAATCAGTCCAGGTACATCTTAACGTTTCTGATTTAATTTAGGAATAAACTTTTTAATTTCTGATAAAAAAATAATTCAGCTGTTATTATTTGAAATTCAAACAGTCCTCAGCAGCCTATAAATATCAGTTGATATCTTTCACATTTTCCATTTGTTTCTTTCAAAGAGAAATTCCTCAAGAATTTTCTCTAAAAAGATAGTATCCGCGCGGACGTGTCGAAGACACGTATTACCACGACCACGACCACGACCACGACCACGACCACGACCACGACCTCGACCTCGACCTCGACCACGACCACGACCACGAGCCGAGCCGTGCCGTGCCGTGCCGAGCCGAGCCGAGACGAGACGGACGGACGGCGGCGGCGGTGCGCGAGAGCCCCCCTTGTTCTCTATCACTCAACAAGGAAGTGGAATGTCAAGCCTTAAATACCATTCCCAATAGTGTTTCCAACACTATGTGGGATTTGAGCATTACCAACAATCCAGACACGGGTTATACTTGAGTTTTGCCTAGTTTTTTACATATATTTAGAAAACCATACCCCACTCATGTCTGAAATATATATATCAGTGTGCTAATGGTTTCACCAAGCCTAATCCTAAAAACTCAATAGTGCAAGGCTGTCTCATTTGTAGTCAACCTAGCAGCAGCAGCTCTGTCAAGGAGAAAAAAACCTCCCATCTTTCAAATATGGAGGGAGTTTTTACAATTACTCAAGGACTTGTTTCCTTTTTTTCTATTGAATATTAAGCACATCTAGGGATGGTCAAAATACCCGAACCCGACGGGTCCTGACCCAAACCTATAGGGGCGGTTTTTTTAAAAAACAATTCAGGGGTCGGGACGGGGCCGAGTTTAAGGTGAAAAATCACCGACCTGACCCGATATATATATAATATTTTAAGAATTTTTATTTTTATATTATTAAAATATATTTTTTTTTTGATAGGAATAGGAAGCCTCGTTAAAAACCTCCCTCATAGTTGACCCTTTCCTAATAGAAAGGATCAAGTAGTGGAGGGAGGAAAAGAGTGCCTCATTTTATTACCAAACCAGATTACATAAGACTTAACAATACAGCAGATGCTTTTACATAAGACTTAACCACTTCTGCTACTTCAAGAACCTACAGCTATAGGAAAATGAACTATACCTAAAACATACAATCAACCGATCCCCTGCTTTGCTAAACTATCTGCCTCCCCATTACAAGACCTTGGAATTAACCTAATTAAAACCACCTTTCCCGAAAGGATCAACAGAATTTCTCTAACCAGAGGCAACATGAAAACTGGTGCCAAAGACGGGGTGAATCCACTCCACTGCCGACTTACAATCACTCTCAACAACCAATCTACTAGCAGCAGACCATCTTGAAGCTAAAAAATTTCGATGCCTCTTTTAATAGCCTTTAACTCTGCAACTGGTGGGGGACCTTGACCAATATTCTCAGAAAAAGTCAGAAGAGTGCAGCAATTCCAGTCCCTTAAAATGCCTCCAATACCTCCAATCGAGTCTTTTAACCTAACAGCTCCATCAACATCATCTTTAAGAAATCAACAGGTGGAGGAAGCCAGCTAATGACATCATAATCTTTAGGTTTAGGAACAGAAATACCATCAGCTAGTGATGGATCCCCAATTAGCAGATCTTCCTGAATAGGGAATTTAGGATACTTGGCTAGGAACCATTTAGATAACCTAAATCTCACAAGGAAAAAGAGACAGCCTATCAAGGTTTAATCCTTCAAACACAATCGCATTCCTTGCTTTCCAAATAGACCAAAAAACGACTCCCGGGATAAACTTCCAATCAATGAATTCAACCTCAAACTCCCCCACGAATTAAATAAGGAAGGAGGGTCCTGTGGTAGCACAATAGACAAGTCCCAGAAGCTTGCCAGTTTATTCCATAGTTCCCAAACTACAAAACACGAAATGAATAAGTGTTGCACAGTTTCCTCATGTTCCTTGCAAAAAGGACAGAGTACATCTTCTTCTAAGGACATTCCTCTTTTAACTAACTCCATTTTAACTGCAACCTTCTGATGAGCTAACTGCCATAGGAAGGCTTCTACGCGAGGCGAGACAAACCCAACCACACCCCTTTTGACCACAACTCAATACCCCCAACTTCCTCACCAAGAGCTTTCCTGCACGATTTCACTGAGAATAACCCATCACCACTTGCTGACCAAGAGAGAAAATCTTCAACCGAATCAGTGAGTTTTATTTCCTTTAATTTCATCATCAGATCCAACCATTGTTCCAATTCCCAATCAATCAAATTCCTCCTAGTATTAATGTTCCACTGCCAACCATTCAACTCAAAGCTTTACAATATAATTAATAATTATAAATATATTATTATAAAATATATTATTTTAATTATTTAAAAATTAAATATATTCGGGGCGGGTTGGGTCGGGGTCAGAATTTTAGACTAAAATTCAGGGAAGGTCCGGGGCAGGAGAAAACCTAAAATTCATCAGAGCAGGATGGGTCGGGTTTTAGGTATATATTTTCGGGTCAGGTCGGGCCCCCAAAAAGGGGCCAGCCCCATGCCCATCCCTAAGCACATCCCAGTTCCCTCTATTGTCAACACAAAAAGGGAAACAAGAGAAAAGGAAGGTATGAGACGATACCTCCCCATGTAAATAGTAAGCTTCAAAAGAAGAGTTCCAGTCTGAATCAGCTCAACATGACTAAGACGTGTAATAACATGTTTCACTTTCAACCCTTCTTCCTCTTCCTTTCAGCGCATCTTTCCTACTAGAAATTTTGTGTTCAATGTTTAACTAGCATACAAGTTTTCAGGACTCTAAATTTCAAATGTAATTGTTTGTGCATACAACACAGTGCCCATTGCCAAGGTTTGTAATATACGTTCTAAAAAATTAGGCATCTGTATCAATAACTTGAGGGATATATGCACCGGTGCATGATTGAAAATGTAAAAGAAAGATATGGAAAAGAAAGTGTTCTAAGGACAGAAGGGAAAGAGAAATTCATAACCCTTATCTTACCACCAGGTGCAGTACGAGAAAATGATTCTCTCTTGCGTTGCTTTGGATTTGACCGTGCAATACTCAACTTCTTTCCAAGCAACATTTGCTTATTCTTCGCTACAGCTGCAGCAAGTGTTCTTCATCCTCAAAATCCACATATGCCAGTCCCTTCAAAATTCAATAAAGGCCTAAACATCATTACTGATCATATGACTGATAGATGGCTTCAAATTCATACCTTACTTGAATTTGACCCAAATTAGGAAATAGGAACCAGACCTAGGTGCTTTTTGTTAAAAATTTTCCATTAACTCGAGCTCTAAACATTAAGCACTAAATTTTTAGTTCAGCAATTTTACATACAAATGTGTATATACCTGTTGCATATTTTTCTTCTTTCAACATTTATCTAAACATATTTCATGTCACCACAAACCGAGTGTGCCATGGACTAATCTACCAAAGAGACAGTAAAATAGCTCATATAACTGTCCAATACAATCTATACTACTCAAGAAAGATCACGATATAGAATTCCAGCCTGAATGCCAGAATGACTTCTAGAAGCACTTATGCGGCCAGTTTCCCATTTCTATTGTAGCAAGTTCAGTAAAAAACAAAATAACAAAGCGCCTGCATGTGTGTGCAAGTACACACAGTCAGGGGTATAGAGAGAGAGAGAGAGAGACCCTTGATTTGCCAGTGAACTTGTCAAGCAGAATTCGAATTGCAGTGACCCCACCAACATTACTAAAGAATTGATGTAGATCTTCATTTTTAGCCTGCTATCCAAAAATATAAACTTGTCATCAACAGATGGCAAACAATACGAGGAAAAGGTAAATCTATACGTTAATCTGATAGAAGAGAAATCAGATGAAGAGAAGCATAAAGGGTTCCACTTACCGCAATGCTCATATTTGATACAAATGCAGTGCACTGATCTGTATATAACCTGGATTTAGTAGGATTAGTGTCTTTCATCTGCTTCTCATTTACTTGTTCCTCAGCCTTGCCTCTTTTCTCTTCCCCATCCTTCACTTCAGCTAAGGTCAGCCCTTGAGTGTTCTCCTTCTTGTGCAATTTCTTATTTTGAGAAGTATGTTTTTGCCGCTTTGCTGGAGACTGATCATCAATTGCACTTGAACCTGATTTCCTCTTCTCACGAGCCGTGTTCTTAAGGGTCTGTTCTCTTTGATCTGTTGCTTCAGTGAAACATTTAGATTCCTGCTGTAACCTAGACAATTGCATCTCCTCAAGACGAGGAGTAACCTGAGAAATGGAATGGAAAACAAGAGGAATTCTGACTTTTTGATAAACGCAGGCAAGGCTATTCATCAACCAGATACACTTTTTCTTTTCAATAAAATATTGTGAAGACATACAGTCAGCACTACCGGAGGATGTTAAAATGTACTAAAATGCCTTATTTAGACACAACAAGGTAGTTTCATAAAGGCAACAGAAAGAGTACTTTAATACTTGCATAGATTTGGATTAACTAATCATGAAGCTTCATGAGCATAACTCACTTACAAACTGACAAAACTGGGACCATATATCAAGTAAACGGTACTAGTCAATGACATCAAATTAATAGAAGGAAAAAGCAGTACTGAAAACAGTGTCTAATAACTTCTCAATCATTAAAGCCAATGAAAAATATATCTTTGTTAAACATCCCCTGAAACACAATAATGTAAATAAAATACTGTTGTTCAATACTACACAGTAGAAAATTTCATTGATAACAAAATTAATCAGATCTATCATTGTTTTCACACCTAATGATAAATCTCCCACCTAGTCAAAGAATAGTGTTTGCAAAAAAAAAAACAGTATACATGGATAATCAGGATAACAGCTTTAGAAAGTAGACGAGACTAGAAATGGTAGTAGACATGATGATCACTAAAGCAGTATTAGGGCAATTGATGATGACAGCAGGTGATTCAGGATTTCCACTTTTACTTAACAATAAGTATCCTTGATTAGGCTTAAATTATACATTATTTTGTGATTAATTACTCCTTGATTAGCTATTTTATGTTGCTAACTTGGACCTTTTTATTCATTTTCAATGCAGGGTAGTAGATTTTAAAAACATTGCTAAAACTGATGAAATTGTGCAATTTTTTATTTTCTGGAATCATTACTAGGTTAGTGGGCATGACTTCACTGACGTGGCATCCAATCAACAGCTTCTAGAAGGTCCAGTCAATAGTGGCGTGAAGACCAAAGACTCAACCGAATTTTTGAATTCAAATTAAGATTTATTTTATTTTTATTTTAGGAATTATCTTTTTAATTTTAAATATATCTTTTAGGGTTTTTGAGGACTATAAATACCCCCATTGGGATAAGCCTCAAATCATCATTGAGATCATTCACTCTTGAACTCTTTTGTTTCTTTCTTTCTTTAGATTTATAAAAGTTTTTCTTTCGTTTTATTTTACTTTCAAGTTTACTTTATTTTCTTTTAAAATGCTAAGTATAGTTTCTACCATGCTTAGCTAAGTTTTCCATAGCGAAGGGCTAAAGCGACGACTCAATTCCATTCGTGAGAATTGAAAAGCACCTCATACCCTTTCGAGTTAAATTCTCAATTTTCTGGAAATTAGATTGGCAATCGGTCTTTCTTAAATTCAAAACGCTTTCACTTCAAAAATAGATTTTGACTTGGATGTTGTTATGATTTAACGTTAAGATTATATAATCAATTGATTCGAATTCCCTTGAACACACTCAGCAATGGCACGCTAAGGGAAATTGGGATCGAGTTCGACTTTCATAGAGAAAGCATAGCTCGAGTCAGGTTTTTCCAAGCGCTTTTAAACTATTTTGAATTACCAGCGATAGTCGAAGTTAATCTAAACAAGGATTGCGATTCCTAAAATAGATTTGGGAAAATCAATCACCAAAGAGAAAAAAATGAGCTACACGTATTGAACCTTGCGGACTCAAACAGACATTTAACTAGAGGAAAAATCTTATTCAAGGATTGATTGGAATATGAGACACGCGAAAGTCTGAGGATGATTTCATCATATTGGTTTTAAATCTATATTTCCTTTCTTTAATTCTTTTATTTTCTTTACAAATCTTTCTATCAAACACCTCCCCCTTTTACTTGCATTTTTTTCTCCTAGATCAAAGATCAAGAACAATTGTTTCAGCATCTTCCTTAGTCCTTGTGGATCGACCTTTACTCTCTATACTATTATATTTATTTTTATTGAGATTAAGGCTAAACTTTATTTGACAGTAAAAACGACGTGTTGTCAATCCTTTTAGTTTTTTAGAAGATGAAGTAACACAATATTTGCTTTTTGTTGAGTAATCTACCTATTCTTTTCAAAACAGCCGTGATGTAAAATAACCAAAGTTGGTAGCCAAAATACAAAATACCTGACATCTTCCAGAATCTATTTTTCCTACCGTGTCCTATGTATTTATTGACTTGATTTCAACCCATATACAAGGATGCATAGTTCCACAATCATAAAAGGAATGGTGTTATTAACTATCAGAAGCAAAAGAACATGAACAGAAGAACTGGGAAAAATATTAAATTAGTACCTTTTTCTCAGCATGGTTGAGATCTTCCAATGTTCCAAATTCCCTCTCAAAGCGCAACCAAGAATGGCAGATGTCCTGAATGATTCTGTTTTTTAGGAAGGCATATATCATCTAATTTACAGGATATTTATAGAGCAATTGAAGAAAATTCAGGAGTTCAGCATAAAAGAACCAACACAAATTACAATCTGAAAAGTTATATTCATCTTAGAAACTAAAAGGTAAAAAAAAACAGTAAGTTAATGTAGACCTCTAGTAAGATCAACTGTAAAATTATGTGAATATGACCAATACAGGTTGTTGGCTCTATCAATTGAGAGATAAAATCAATTAAACTTCAAAAAGATGGTATTGATGAGAGGAATCATATGATAGAAGAATATGAAAAGTATGGTCTTAAGCTGAGCTCCATCTCATAAAATTTGTACCCATACACATGCGTAAACAAGTGCTAAGGGCCAAATATATGTTATGAAAGGCCATTAATTTGGTAGATGAACAAAACAAAACATGACAGCCTCTATCATACTCTCTTTCTTACGCTATGAACCAAACCCACCTCGACAAAATCCTTGACGATCACAACCGACTTCACTTGCTTGTCTTATCCATTAAACCCTCCTAAACTCATATCTTGTAACCACTCCAAAAAAAACACTGCAACTCCATATCAGAAAAATTTAATGGGTCTGAACTTGCTGTGCTATTTTTGAAAATATTGAACACTGGTGAAAGTTTGAAGAGAAACATTCAATGGTCCTGCTAATTGAAAATCAGTTTGTGCAGGTCTATTACCCCCATCAGTTTTGAGTATTAGTAATGGAAGAGGCCTTTCACCCAGTTCTCCTTGACTTCAAGCTTGAGGACAATCTCTTTCTCCAGGAGAGGAGTAATGTTACAGACCAAATCCATGTTAAGGAATGCCGTTAATTTGGGTTAGTTACTTAAAGCTTAGACAGAGATCAATTTCTTTCCTCAAATTTCCTGATTATGCTTTTAATTTAGCCGATTTATTTCCCTTCTAAATTAGGTTTTCTATTTATGTTATAAGATTAGTCAATCACAAACGCAGGATCGTAACAAGAAGTCTAGCATAATACTTTCTGTATCAGACTAACAGCTAGAGATAGAACAGGTCAATCTTCAAACAGAGAAAATTTTCACTTCCATATGATAGAAAAGAAAACAATCTTTCTCCCTTCTAAATTAGGTTTTCTACTTATGTAATAAGATTAGTCGACCATAAACACACGATCGTAACAAGAAGTCTAGCATAATACTTTTTATGTATCATACTAACAGCTAGAGATAGAACGGGTCAATATTTAAACAGAGAAAAATTTCACTTCCATATGATAGAGAAGAAAAAATTCTTTCTTCCAATTCACCTACTGCACAAAACTTCCATCAACTTTTCCCTTTAATTCTGACACTTTGGACATTTAATCTCGATGAACCTTAATTTTCTAGCTCCACGCCAAAGCCAGAGTAGGAAATATTCCCCAGAGATGTCATAAGTTACCGTTTTATTGCGAGCACCTGAACACCTTTTCCCAAAAGCAACCAAGTTAAACTAATCAATAAGTATGAAAAATGATATATGATCTAATTTTAATGCTACTCCACACTTATATATTCTCACTTCAGCACTACAGTCAACAGTAGCAATAGAGAAAAGATGGAACAAAGCAAGAAAACATATATATTTGCTACAAAAATGGAAAACACATCACTTTTCCTTAACAAACCCATAAAACTGAAGAAAGCAAACATTTGAAGATAAACAAGTCCTACAAATACAAATTACATTTACATAATCATGGAAAACATACCTCTGAACCTGTTCCACTAAATCTTTTGCTGTAGCATCTCTTATATATGGCCCTCGCTTCATTTATATGATCTAATTCAATTTCCATAGCTATATAACTTTTCCATGCTTCCAACATTGAACCACTGCACAGATAGATATGTTCATAAAACCCGTGACACATCAGGTTGTTAAAATAACTATAGAATTATGCATGCAAACTCTGAACAGTCAAACCCGCTTTTAATCAAGCTCTCCCAAACACCACGAGCTGCATTTAAATCCTTTCCCAATTTCAGCTCTAAATGGGCCCAATAAGCATGCAACCGCAATAAACCATCGGTGTTCTTCAAGTGTGGTGATAAATAATCTGCTGCTTGCTGAAAAGAAGGCCACATAGAGTAAAACTCAAGCATATAAAAGGAATGTATTACCAGCCCATATATCATGAAGAATAAGAAGCCCAAAGTGCTTTTACATACAATTACATTGACTCTTAACAAGGTTTGGTTACATAGGTATTAACACTCCTATTCAAAATAAACAATATGTATTCCTTCTCTTAGTTCAAATCAAGTCGTGAAAAATTACCAAGTGAATCACACTGCCTTAACCATGAAATTCATTTTAAACATGGAAATGAAAAAAGTGCACATTCAAACCTGAAAAGAATCCCTAATCATTGAATAGTTCAACACATCATCTCCACTAGCTGATGAAATCCTACGCCTCAAGCCATCTACTCGGGTGAGAAACAAATCAAGGTACTACAACAAACAAAAGATATTAAAAGTATTCAACACATGAACAATATAAAATGAATTCACAAAATAGATAAATAAATAAACCCATACCTCCTCAAGGGTTGAAAATGTGCATTTGAGGGACTTCTCAAATGCCTGAAATAATTTTTTTTAAAATCAATTAAAAAGTCGTAAATAGAACCATAAAACAATTAAAGCATTTTACACATTTCTCATTACATACAAGTGAAGGAAATTTCCTTCTAAAAAATCCTGAAATTATAATAGACAACTAATAGTTCTACAGAGAAACTACCAAAATCAAACAGATCTAATGCCACCATGAAAGAGCGATGGCATTCAGTATATTTGGATACAGAAATAAGATTATATAACACAATGATAGGAACACAGTGACAAAAGCATGCTCACAGGGTAGCACACAGGATTTTGTAATTGCACTGTTGTTTTGATATGCCTTCATAAATGCTCTCCACATTTTCATATTCTTCTTTCGAGCTCTTAGTAAGATCTTAGTGCAGTTCTTGACCAGCACCAAAAAAACCGCATACTCATTTTTCCCTGTTCAACTGATTTTTAAGAATTTCCTAAAGCTCCAAGCCAAGAAGATTCAAGTAGTATATGCAGGAGTGTTACAACAGGAGCTATAAGTTCTCCAATGATGACTAAAGATCAAACTTCAAACAACTATTTGATGCTTTATTATGTAGTCCAGACAGAGAGAAGAAGAAATAATCTCTGAAAAACACAACATACATCAGATATCTCTTTCTCAGAAGCAAGGACACGCTCCAAACACAGCAAATATCGAACCCAAAGTTCTCCAACCCAGGGACAGCTTCTCGTAGCCCTGTAGGAAACATCCTTCACAACATTTCCTGCCTAAAAGGACAAAAGGAAAAGAAAGATTAGCGTCTAGTATGGCAAACTCAATTATAACTTGTAACAAGTAAAAGCAATAACTTTGATGTTTAATTGAATAATAGCAAGTAAAACAAAGAACCTTCAAAGTTTTATCAAGATAGCGAGTATAATGATGCCAAATATCACTTGATACAGGAAAGTCAGTTATGGCACGCTCGTACAGAATCTGAACTCGGGATGGATCACCAAAGGATTTTTCAAAATCTAAGTAGCTCTGCAACAAATGAATTATTGGTCAATTCAAATGGGCAGAGTGACACTAATGCCTACGCTACAATAGGGTAAATAGGAAAAACAAATATTTTAGTCTCATAAGAAAGGAGAGACACTGTCTTGAAGCAAACACGAAGAAACCAATTTGATATCAGAGTTAGTACCGAATAAATGAATCTCCACACAAAAATATTGTAGAGTATCATATATATACCATGTAATTTTGAAATCTTTCAGACTCAGATACATCCTGTCTAGTAATCCGTTCTTCAAGTTGTGCACGGGCAATGTACATCTCCTCTGCCTTCTGATAAGCTGAAGCAACATGGGAAGAAATCCCTAAATCATTGTCGGATTCAGTATCATGGGAATTTCCCTGCTGCACCTCCCATGCCTTGTAGGCTAGAAGAGTAGACTTCAAGTTAGCAAGGGGAATAGACAAGTAACGATGGAATATACTCCGTATGCGCTGGACCTGCTTCTCTTTGGCCTGAAAAAAATAAATGGATAATCAGCAGTCCAAGTATCCAACACGTAAACATGTTCTTTATGAGAAAGTATTTAAGTGTAAAGAAAATGGTATCATGCTCAGACCTGGATGTCTGATTGGTCAATAGTTAGTAATATCGCTTGCTCAAAATGGGTATATGCATCCCATATTAAAGAGCCTTGAGAAACATGCAGAGAAGCAGCTGTAACAGCTCGCTCAAACAGATTTCTTGCCTTTGAAATCCCATCGGCTGAACAATCACGCACTTTTGGATCATGTTCTTGCACATAATTGAGGTACTGACACCAAACGGGGATAGACAGATACTCAGAGAGGCCTCTTTCGTAAAGCTTCTGAACTGACTCGCAATTGGAATCATTCGAAAGAGAAGCCTCGTCTTTGGCCCAATCCATCCACATTTCAGGACTCAGTGGAAACAACGTATTCATGTTTTCCCTTGCTTCCCGTAGCTTCTCTATTTCACCACTTCTCCTCAAAAGCTTTATGTACTGTAAAAACGAATCAAACAAATTAAATTACAAGAAATGCTATCATTTTTAGTAGGGAAAGATGTTTACGTTTACTTTAACAAGGGATACTAGTGCTTACCTGGACATGGGCATCGTAGTTGGAAGGATTGGTGGAGAGCTCGTATTCTAGGGTTAAGAGCTGCTCTTTCTGATCTGCATCGTCTTCCGAATCGCTAGAGTCCGAATCGCTGCTGGATTTCTGAGTGGTTTTAGGGTTTTCAACAGTATCGCTCTCATCCATTCCAGTGTCTTCCTCCAAGGAAACTGGTGATTTCTCAAACTCATCCATTTTCCTTTCTTTCTGTGTTTTCTATTTTTTAATTTAAGACGGCGAGGGCTTCGGTGCCTCACTTTTATCGAGACCAGCTGATAGAGCTATGATAATTTAAGGTTAAACTACTTTAAATACCCTTCATCTTTAAGTTTAGATTTTTTATATCATTGATATTTTAATTTTATCAATTTTAACATTGAATTTAAGTTTAACTGTAATTATGTCATCACACCGTTAATGGTTTAATTGTACAATGATATGGTATCTTTATATCGTGACATGACTCCCTCACCAAAATGACATCGTTTTAATAATTATTTTAATATTAAAAAATCTAAAACGATATCGTTTTGATGAGGAAGTGTCTCTTATTTAACATATTTCTCCACCTAGTGTTTCTCGATCTTCCTTAACCTAGGGATTAATTCTAAAAAATATTCAAAGCAATGCCTCTCACTCTCTTCTTTCCCAACTTCTAAAAATCCATTGCTTTTATTGTTGTCGAAGCTAATTCATTAATCATCCATAGTAAAGAAATGATAACATGTTTCATTTAACAGCATGGACTACGTGGATCTCCCGGCTACACCATTGATCGATACAGTAGAGCTTACAAAATGGTCATTCTACAAGGCTTTTATAGTCGAGTTCATCATCACTCTGCTCTTCCATTACATCATCGATTCGCCGTCTCCACCATAATCGACCACAAAAGCCATGATAATTTCTCCACCGATCCTTGTGCTGGTGTTAGTATTCTCGGCATTGTTTGGACCTTCGATGGCATGATCTTCGTTCTCGTTTACTGTACTGTTGGTATTTTCGGTATGCTCATTTTTTAAACTTAAATTATCGAGCATTCGTTAAGTTTGCAGTGGTTTATGGGGATTAATTTACTGGTTTTAGTACTTCGATAGTATCAGGGGGGTCATATTAACCCAACATTGATTTCTGATCCGTTGGGGTATGGAGATAAAGAAGAAAAAGAAGATAGAGACAAATATGTTGAAAATTTTAGGTTTAGTCCCTAAGTTAATTTAAAATTTTAGAATTAAGTTTAACATAAAGTTTTAATTTTTAGAATATTTATAAGAGAAAATAACCTCAGTGACAAAAAATGTCTTATAATATACGATTTTAACCAATTTTTGTTTGATTTGTCAAAATGACCAACTAAATCGCAATGCGATCGATAATTCGCAACGCGATCTTCGGTATCGCAAATCAGTTTCCAGATTCGCAACGCGAACTTCGACTATCGCATTGCGATTTACATATTCGCATTGCGATAGTCCAAGTTCACGTTGCGATAGTCGAAGTTCGCGTTGCGATTTTCCAAATTCGTTGCTATAGTCGAAGTTCGCATTGCGATTTATTCCAAATTCGTTGCGATAGTCCAAGTTCGCGTTGCGATTTATTCCAAGTTCGTTGCGATAGTCGAAGTTCGCGTTGCGATTTATTCCAAATTCGTTGCGATAGTCAAAGTTCGCGTTGTGATTTATTCCAAATTCGTTGCGCGACTGGTGGTATTGCATTTGTTTCTTAAGAATTTTCTCTAAAAATATAGTATTCGCACGGACATGTCGAAGAAACGTACAACCACGACCACAACCACGACCCGAGACGAGACGGGGGCGGCGGCGACGCGCGAGAGTCCCCCTTGTTCTCTATCACTCAACAAGGAAGTGGGAAAGCCAAGCCTTAAATACCATCCCAATAGTGTTTCCAATAATATGTGGGATTGAGTATTACCAACACTTGTTCCCAATACTATGTGGGATTGAGCCTTAAATAGTGATATTATTTTTGAATGTTTTGCTTAAAATTGCAATAATCGCGATTGATTGTAGATTGACTTTTAATTATGACATATTTAATCGTATAATACTAATGCAATTGGTTGCTGATTCAGTTGTTTTAAGGTGCATGATTGTTAATTGTTTCCTGAATAATCACATTGTATTGGAAGCAAGTGTTGGTAATGCTCAATCCCACATAGTATTGGAAACACTATTGGAAATGGTATTTAAGGCTTGATTTTCCCACTTTCTTGTTGAGTGATAGAGAACAATGGAGACTCTCGCGTGCCGCCGCCGCCGCCGTCCGTCTCGTCTCGGGTCGGGTCGGGTCGTGGTCGTGGTCGTGTCAAAATAATGTTGTTTTGGTGAGAAAAACACGCCACCAAAGTCACGATGCAGAGATGTCATGGCATCGTGTTGTTAAGTCATTAACGACAGGGTGACATAATTGCAGTTAAACTTAAACGTCAGTGTTAAAATTGATAAAATTAAAATGTTAATGACATAAACAAACCCGTGCTTAAAGAAGAATAATATTTGAAGTAATTTATCCTAATTTTAATGTTTTGGAAATTTACTTTTAAAATTTTAATTTCAATTTAATTATACTCAGTTTCATAAAATAAAAAACAACAATAATAATGCCTCGGGAAAATAACGGAAATTATCATTACAACACCAGAAATTATTGTTACGATTTACGAGATCACATGTTAGAAAAAAAATACACATTGAAAATAAACAAATGTAGCAATTTCGTTAGTAAGTATAATAGTTGTGTATGTAAAAAATGTAAAAAGTAAAAAAAAATATTGTTTAGTCCAGTAGAAATTAGTGGTGGATCTAAAAATATTTTTGAGGATGGGTATATATACGCTAAGGACATAAATTTTTTGAATGAGTTAGACAAAAATAAAATTTCAGGATGAATATCATCAATAAAATAAATCATAATCGAAGAAATTCAAATTTTAAAGTTGGCATCCACTCTTGCCCCCAAATTTGGCACATGCAGTTAAGATGTCTTCCATCTCTTTGTTGCTGTAAATAAAACCGGTCGGGTTGATTGTTGGACCAGAGATATATACCCATGGCTTTTTCACAGTCTCAAGTGCCTTGTTGAGTATTTTCTCTGTCAGCTTAAAGTCTTCTTCAGAATTTGTAGGAATGTTTACAATGTTTGCTTTAAAAAATTTGGCTGCAGAAACAAGATTGCCATTTGAGCCAGCTGGAAAGCACATAGTTCCACCTTAATCAATGCGGTACTTAGCTTACTAAAAAGGGCTTGCAAGCAGTCTGAATATATAAAAGCTGTGTTGCTATCAATTGGAAACCCATAGTTGCTCCTAACAAATTGCTTTATACTAGGAGTGACGTCAATTTCAGACTCAGTCAAATTTTGCCGTGCAAAACTTTCAAAGATAGCGCCCTTGACTGGAGAAGGCGTTGGTAGGAACCATCGATCCGCATCCAAATGTACAAGAGAGTTCCCATCACCATAAATGGATAATTCAGCATTATTTTAAATTAAAATATTATTTGAACAAACCTATCACGTCAACAAGATTTATCATGCATTGTAGTAATTACTGTAGATATTAAAATAAAAACCTGGTCTAATGGGCAATTAATATATCTGCTTGATTTATTGGGCCAACTTTACCGCATATTTTGTAACGGATAATCAATGTAAACCCCATGAGTTCACGTGCTCTATTTGGGCTTATAATATACGATTTTAACCAATTTTTTTTGGATTTGTCAAAATGACCAACTAAATCGCAATGCGATCGATAATTCGCAACGCGATCTTCGGTATCGCAAATCAGTTTCCAGATTCGCAACGCGAACTTGGACTATCGCATTGCGATTTACATATTCGCATTGCGATAGTCCAAATTCACGTTGCGATAGTCGAAGTTCGCGTTGCGATTTTCCAAATTCGTTGCTATAGTCGAAGTTCGCATTGCGATTTATTCCAAATTCGTTGCGATAGTCCAAGTTCGCGTTGCGATTTATTCCAAGTTCGTTGCGATAGTCGAAGTTCGCGTTGCGATTTATTCCAAATTCGTTGCGATAGTCCAAAATCGCAACGACTGGTGGTATTGCATTTGTTTCTTAAGAATTTTCTCTAAAAATATAGTATTCACACGGACATGTCGAAGAAACGTACGACCACGACCACGACCACGACCACGACCACGACCCGAGACGAGACGAGACGGCGGCGGCGGCAGCGACGCGCGAGAGTCCCCCTTGTTCTCTATCACTTAACAAGGAAGTGGGAAAGCCAAGCCTTAAATACCATCCCCAATAGTGTTTCCAATACTATGTGGGATTGAGTATTACCAACACTTGTTTCCAATACTATGTGGGATTGAGCCTTAAATAGTGATATTATTTTTGAATGTTTTGCTTAAAATTGCAATAATCGCGATTGATTGTAGATTGATTTTTAATTATGACATATTTAATCGTATAATACTAATGCAATTGGTTGCTGATTCAGTTGTTTTAAGGTGCATGATTGTTAATTGTTTCCTGAATAATCACATTGTATTGGAAGCAAGTGTTGGTATTGCTCAATCCCACATAGTATTGGAAACACTATTAGAAATGGTATTTAAGGCTTGATTTTCCCACTTTCTTGTTGAGTGATAGAGAACAAGAGGGACTCTCGCGCGCCGCCGCAGCCGTCCGTCTCGTCTCGGGTCGTGGTCGTGGTCGTGGTCGTGGTCGTGTCAAAATAATGTTATTTTGGTGAGGAAAACACGCCACCAAAGTCACGATGCAGAGATGTCATGTCATCGTGTTGTTAAGTCATTAACGACAGGGTGACATAATTGCAGTTAAACTTAAACGTCAGTGTTAAAATTAATAAAATTAAAATGTTAATGACATAAACAAACCCGTGCTTAAAGAAGAATAATATTTGAAGTAATTTATCCTAATTTTAATGTTTTGGAAATTTACTTTTAAAATTTTAATTTCAATTTAATTATACTCAGTTTCATAAAATAAAAAACAACAATAATAATGCCTCGGGAAAATAACAGAAATTATCATTACAACACCAGAAATTATTGTTACGATTTACGAGATCACATGTTAGAAAAAAAATACACATTGAAAATAAACAAATGTAGCAATTTCGTTAGTAAGTATAATAGTTGTGTATGTAAAAAATGTAAAAAGTAAAAAAAAAAAATATTGTTTAGTCCAGTAGCAATTAGTGGCGGATCTAAAAATATTTT